ATGTACGGACTTTATACGTTGAAATAAGGACAGCGGATTATTTCCGTTAGCGTTACGATCCAAAGCTTTCGTTCCTCAAAGCTGGGAAAATTACGGATAAATATCTATAACAATGATATATAACTATTTGGAAGGGTTTGCAACGCTTAAAAATATTTGTAATCCTTCTTAAAAAGTAAATACGAACCGAACGGACTGAATCCGTAACGTCTACGGATATTTTTCGTTGCACCTATAATTTTGTAACGCCTTAAATTTACCAGTTTCTAAGTTAATATTAATGGACATTTTCAGCTAAGATGGCGGTCGACTCTTGCGGAAATGTTTCCGCAAATTGTACACGTAAGGAAGTAGAATCAACTGGATTAATTCGTTAGTGGAATAGTTTTTAACGGTATTGGGAACAATTTCCAATAGATAGACCGGTAACTTTAAGGTGAAGTGAAACACGTCGAGGAACTTGATCGACGTCGATAAAGAAGATTTTTCTAAATGCCTACGTTGCCGACGTTCGTTTTTATATTGACAGCTGGGTCGAATTATATTGGATATTGTACCAAATGGCATACTCCACCTGTCGTTTTCGTACAATAAATGTCAAGAAATCGAAATAAAACTCCAGAAATCCTCTGGATTCATGCGTTCCGGGGCCCTAACTGACTGCAGAGGGACCCCCTGCGCCATCTGTGATTTCCAGGTCAATTAAATATTCACTCCGAGACCTCCTATTCCCATCGTTTCAGCATAGAAGCGCATACAACACTTTTTTTTGCCTTTATCCCGTTCAAATGCGAGTTTATCGATTACCAGAGTGTTCTAAATTGTCGTAAAATTGTCCTGATCCTTTCGATTCTCATATCAGAGCCTTCGATAATTGTATATCGATCGAAATATGAGAGCTCGACGCCATTTTGGTTCTGGTCTGGACTGAGTTAAAAAATTTGTTTGAAAAATCCAAATTTTAAATGTGTCAGGACAATTCTTAGATGATCAGGAGTGATGTGTCAAAGTTTCGGACGTTTTGGTTTTTTACCCTTAAAAAAAAAGTGTTGTATTCGAATCGACTGATTTGAAGGATGTTTCACTTCACCTTAAGGCTCTTATTTTTCTCCGCGTAAGTACTGTAAAGGGTCGGTTTGCGTCGATCTCCGACAGAGGCGCCACCGGAGCGAGGAGCGCCGCTCGACGTTTCCGATTTGGGGTACGAAACGTCGAGGCGGGTCCCGGGGGACGCAAGAGGAGGAAGAGGGACGAAAGAAGAGTGGATCCTCTCCGGTCGTACATGGGCCGCTACATGGCCGACGTACATGCTCAGGGGTAGGGGGCGGTACTCGAGTTACTCAAAAGCCGGTCGCAGACGGAAACTCGGGGAAAAAGTTTCGCCTAACGTCTTGGAAGTGTCCGAAAAAGAGGACTGCGCCGGCGGCGGGACTCCTCTAAGTGTATCACATAGTAAATTTAGTTTGCCGACCTGCGCGCCGCTTCCCGAGCTTCCGCCGCCCCGCCCGGCCCGGCCCGGCGGCCATTTTGCAAGATGGCGCCGGCGCGGGACCGTTCGAGCGAATCTGGCCGATCAAACGGGGGCTAAAAGCCGCGCTTTCGCCCGGGTTAACTCGATCCTGGGGCTTTCTGCCACCCACCGACCGACCGACCGTTCCAATCGATGAGCCCGCGACAACGGGCGCTCTTTCCGCCTCCCGGGGGAGTCGGCTTCCTTCCAGTTAACCTCCAAATTCGGAGACCTGGCCGAGATACGGAACTGCAGACATGCAGATACGTATTTCATTGAATAGATTAAGTTTTTCTCGGTTCAACCTTAGAATATGGTGAATATATGGGCGACGTGACTACATTCTTCGATTAATTTTCAATTTTTTCTATGCCTTAAAAATAAAGTTTGAAATTTTGCAGTGGTTACGTTCTTTAAGTGGCAATGTCCTAGTCGCGAAATAGGGTGTACGCGTTCGACTCTGCAGCAAGAAACAAACTGTAACTATTTTTTATTTCGCAGACATCACGCACGGTAAACTCTCTTTCCGTGATCCCGCTCGACCGCGAAACCTAGGTATTTCTGAGAGTTCGTTTTTCCATTTGCCCTATCGATGGCAATCTAATGATGCGAATGCATCGCGACGAAGTCACGCATCCCGGAAGACAAGGGGAGGCTCCGATCAGCTCGAGTACACGATAAACCGCAAATCGCGGGCGAGAAAAAAGAAGGGAAAATGCACATTCTATGTACGAACGCGTCTCCGAGGACTTTGGGAGTATTCACTTTGGAATACGGTTCGAGTAGCAATTATGCTCTTCTCAAAGTAGAAAGACGCCTACCGATATAATACATATTTTGCACACAAGGGGATTAGCTAAGGAAAAGAAGTTCCTAACGGACAACCATGACACAATCGTGAGAAAATCGTGTTGAACGTGTACAGTATCCATGACAATCATAATTAATAATATACAAATACAAAAATAGGGTATTCTTAAATACAAGACTACAAGTTCTTCGACCATAACCTCAAGTCCATCTTCACTTTTGAGAATGCCAACTGGTCAGGACCAATTTGAACCTGAAATCAGTGCGAGTAATTAGTACGAAGAAAAAATAAACCGCGCCTTGTATGCTGAAAAAATGTATTGAACCTGAGAAATATTTTGTTAATTCAAAGAATAATTATTTGATTGACATAAAAGCGAATAAATCGGATGCAATATTTCTTTGGAATTGTGACAATTTATTTAAGTCAAATAATTATTCTCCGAATCAAAAATACATTTCTTAGGTACCATTCAAAGAAATATTTCTTTGGTTCAATGAATTTTTTCTGCTCAGAGTAGACATGGGAAGTGGATTCCGCTTAAGGTGCTATGATAGGGTCCATTCTATACCTATAAAACGTCAAAATATTGATGAAAAATGTCTCCAAACTGTGTGTAATAATTTAAACTTCAACACGTAATCGTGTTAAAACTCACTACATTTCATGTTTGAAAAAAAGAAAAGAAGAAATTATTCTTTCGAAATTTATAATTCCGCGAGTTTCCAGACCTTCACTAGGACCTCGATAATCACGCGTCGAAGTTACTAATAATTTGATTGTCATGTTCACCCAGTCTTAATAAAAGTTTTAAATATATATATATATATAATAACCCTTTCGCATCACCTTAACCGCGCGCGTTTCCCGGTCTTTCTCCCCGGATTCTCCGCCTCGCATCTCGAGGTCCGATCGATAGGCAGCCATCGATGTCTCTCGGCGGTGGCGGGGAGGGAGCGCTCGGTCTGGCTGGCGGAGCGCGACTACGGCAGCCGCGGCGCGCGCGCGGCCACCCCGGGCGATGCGCGAGTGTGGGTGCGCGGCGCGCACTCGGCGTCGGCTCGCCGGCAACTCCTGCGCGAGCGGCCTCCTCGGGCGTCCCACCCCCCGCGGGGTAATTCGCGGCGGCTGCGCGGCCCAATCGCGGCCGGCCAATCGCACCTCGGCTGCGCGGGACCGAGCGAGAACAAAAGACTCGCGGAGGGGGCCGCGCGAGCGCTGCGATCGCCGCGGCCCGCAAAAACCGTCCGCGCGGCATCGATTCGCCCCGGCCCGGACAAAAGGACCGCGAGGACCCGCCGACGGCTCCCGGTCGCGTGGATCGGACTCCTTTTTATTTATAACCCACTTTTCTCGGACTTTTCTCCCGTTCCTGTTATTTTTTTTTTCCTTTCTTTCCCCGCGCTTCTTCCCTTCGAAAAACCGTCCGATTGTCTCCGGTTACGTTGCGGTCCACCAAGTCTGCCTGGAACCGGGTGTCGGGGCCCCCGAACTCCGACTCGAGTACTTTGAGCCGTTTTTATTCCGATGAAATTTTATACTGAACGTTAAGGTGAAGTGAAACACGTCGAGGAACTTGATTGACGTCGATAAAGAAGATTTTTCTAAATGCCTATGTTGCCGATGTTCGTTTTTATATTGACAGCTGTGTCGAATTATATTGGGTATTGTACCAAATGGCATATTCCGCCTGTCGTTTTCGTACAATAATTATCAAGAAATCGAAGTAAAACTCCAGAAATCCTCTGGATTCCTGTTTCCTGGGGCCCTAATTGACTGCAGAGGAACACCCTGCGCCATCTGTGATTTCCAGGTCAATTAAATTTTCACTCCGAGACCCCGTATTACCATCGTTTTAGCATAGAAGCGCATACAACACATTGTTTGCCCTTATCCCGTTCAAATGCTAGTTTATCGATTACCAGAGTGTTCTAAATTGTCGTAAAATTGTCCTGACCCTTTCGATTCTCATATCAGAGCCTTCGATAATTGTATACTGATCGAAATATGAGAGCTCGACGCCATTTTGGTTCTGGTCTGGGCTGAGTTAAAAAATTTTTTTCAAAAATCCAAATTTTGAACGTGTCAGGACAATTCTTAGATGATCAGGAGTAATGTGTCAAAGTTTCGGACATTTTGGTTTTTTACCCTTAAAAAAAAAGTGTTGTATTCGAATCGACTGATTTGAAGGGTGTTTCAGTTCACCTTAACGACTCCGGGGATCGTTCAGCGACTTCTAAGACTGATTTGCACACTCCCTACATTGACATGCGTACATATGTATAATTAAACCTCGTATATATTACCGTGGATGTATTTGATTTTTATTATAATAAAGTCGATTTAAAATAGAAAATGGTGTTTTACATTTTAAATACCTATTACAAATGAATTCAATTGAAATGGTTACTTGGCTCTGTGTATTGAGAGGTTCGATTGAGTTTTGAGGGGACACTCGATAATTGACGAGTCGCCGTTTACGCTCCAAGTGTTAGGTGTATAAATTGTTAAAGAGATCTACGACCCACTTCTGGACTCCCTTTTCTTCTGGCATTTCTTTTGGTCGTGGATAACCGCGGAAAATGTCTTCGGGTTCTACGGTCGATTGTACGATCGATTGTTTTTCGCGGCCAGCGAAGGTGCGCCGGAAGTGAAAGAAACCGTCCGGTTTGCTTGCAGGTGACAAGGGGGACGACCCCAAGGGATCGTCTTCGAACTCCCTGAGCTCGGCTCAGGGCAAGAAGCAGCGGAAAGCCCGCACGGCGTTCACGGACCATCAGCTGCAGACTCTGGAGAAGAGTTTCGAGCGACAAAAGTACCTCAGCGTTCAAGACAGGATGGAATTGGCCGCCAAACTGCAGCTGACCGACACGCAGGTCAAGACGTGGTACCAGAACAGAAGGTAAGACGAGCTACCATTTTTACATTTGCGCTAGGAAAAAAAAAAAATTCAAAAAAAAATTCCAACCAAAGAAATATCTTGTTAATACAAAGATTACATCCCAGGTTGTGATAAGAAGGAACGTCGCGTCCAATTTAATCGAGTTTATTCCAACCAAGTAATTATTCTTTGAATTAACTAAATATTTCATTTTTTCAATGAATTTTGTCTCGGTGCCCCCGTCAGGATTTCCGAATGAAAATCTGGAGACCGATCAAGGCTGCCCTGAGAAAAAAGATTAGTTGCCTGAATCCATCCATAATCGCAAGAATCAATTATTTTATTAAGAAAAATATAAAACGATATCGTTGATTCAAACGAATTTTGTCTACTCTTCCTGACGTTTCTTTGGATATATTTGATCGTAGGATTCCATTCGGTTTTTCAACTGAAAAACTGTTTTTCTCAGGGTGCGAAGCAAACCATCGGCTGCAGATTTCAAAGAAATACCGGCGCAAGGATCTCGGTTAACGAGAAGTTTCGGGATGATTTATAGTCGAAACGTGGTGTACCAGTTTTCAGAAAGCGTCCGAGTAACGACGCCTAATGCTCGAGGGCACGGCGTCACAGTAGCCGACTGGCTACTGCACCGTTAAGAGGGAAAGGCATAGAAAAAGATGACAAGAGGGAGCGCCGGGGAGGGAAGAAAGGAGGAAAAAAGAGATGACTTAACCGATCATCCCGGGGCACCAGGGTATGACTCTGTAAAGTGCGATGAACGAAGGGCCTCATCCCATAAGCATGGCGTCAGCGTCGGATCGGCGGCGGACGTGATCCTTTTAAAGGGCCCGTGTCGAATCCCTATAATGGAAATTGCGCCGACCAACAAAGCCGTTGTTTACGTGGTTAAACGCGACGACCGTTGCCTGACAACGGATTCGATACTAAACGCCCTTAAGGCGCGTCCAGTCCAGCGCCCAGGGTCGGATGCGGTTATTTAAGGCCGTTGTTTGATGGTTCTAAACAATACAATGCCGTCCTATTGTCTTGAGACCTTACGGTATTTTTCTGGTCTTCTCTCTTGACGGAAGAATTTGTGATGCCCTGTTACGTACAGCAATAACATCTTGATGATGGAATAATTGCTCATGCGCATTGTTTAGCTCTTGGTACTTCACCCTAAAATTATAGTAGTCATGAACCTCATATATTTTATCTATCTCATAATGTGTACGATTCCACGTGAGGTATCATGAGATGAAGTATAAATATAAATGATAACTTAAGGTGTTATGAAATATCGCAAGTTTCAAGATCTTCGTAAGGACCTCCATAATCACGGGTTAAAGTTTGAAATTATTCGGTGCCCCCAGTTTCGAAAAAAGTTTTATAAATACCTTACAATGACCCTCTTGTAATACCTTAAATTATCGAAAGTTTAAGAATACTAATACTACATTGTTTGGCTCTTGGTACTTCACCCTAAAATTATCGTAGTCATGAACCTCATATATTTTGTCTATCTCATAATGTGTACGATTCCACGTGAGGTATCATGAGATGAAGTATAAATATAAATGAAACTTAAGGTGTTACGAAATATCGCAAGTTTCAAGATCTTCGTAAGGACCTCCATAATCACGGGTTAAAGTTTGAAATTATTCGGTGCCCCCAGTTTCGAGAAAAGTTTTATAAATACCTTACAATGACCCTCTTGTAATACCTTAAATTATCGTAGTCATGAATCTCATATATTTTGTCTATCTCATAATGTGTACGATTCCATGTGAGATATCATGAGATGAAGTATAAATATAAATGATAACTTAAGGTGTTATGAAATATCGCACGTTTTAAGATCTTCGTAAGGACCTCCATAATCACGGGTTAAAATTTGAAATTATTCGGTGCCCCCAGTTTCGAGAAAAGTTTTATAAATACCTTACAATGACCCTCTTGAAATACCTTAAATTATCGAAAGATTAAGAATACTACCTAGGTCCGTCGTGATCGGCCGTCGGGCGAGGACTGGCAGGCGCCAAGGCGTGACGCGGTGGAATCCTCTGACGACCTCTCGAAAGCCGACCCGTATATCTCGGTTTTCGCCCGAGCGACGGAGACGCATATAGCGCCGCCCCGAATGACCGACGGAGACGGAGATAGGTCCTTTCCAATTAGCTGTCCGTTGAGCTCTCGCTCGTCACCGATCCATCGCCCTCGAAGATCATTTACTGTGAAAAATGGTAAAAACTCTGAAATGGTGAAAATCGCGTTTCGAATCGGAGGCAAACCTTAGCAATCCTCGGAAAGGATAACGAGATACCCTTAACGACGTAAATATTATTTTTTCTCTCTCTCTCTTAGAATTGTCACCAGGTACATATATTTATACGGAGAATCAGGCAGCCCTGTAGTGACATCAATGATTTTGTATCCGCCCTCTCGTTTCTTTTCCTCGTTACCGAAATTCGAAGTTTACGGAGTGGAATCTTTTTCCCCCCTTGAGAGTCGCCCAGCGCCGATATATCGAGCAAGATCGAAGAAAAACCAGATGATCGATCCTGGATCGGTCGAGCCCAAAAAACGACCAATTATCGACGCTTCGAGACTGCCCTCGATCGTCGCCCGTGATTATCTCCTAAAATGGTTACGTCAATTCCACTTTTTATTCGATCCTGCGCCATGGGAAAAATGATTCTTTCAATATTCCTTCCTTTTTTTTTTTGTTATATCTCCCTAAAAGCTTCTCGATGATATTTTCTCGCCAGAAAAAATCCCTTTTTTATTTTCTATTTCATAAATTAACTTCGATTCTGGAGTTCATAGTTAATGCGAAATTGACAGTTTCGTATATGACTTTATAATGTTGACCAATAACGCGACTTCGCAACGGCACCAAATTTTGTGCGCGGGTCTATAGTAATGTGAAGAAAGAAAATGTGTATAAAATTCGGAATCGGGCCTCGGGAGGTGTCGTCTCATTTTGGATAGAGCCTCCGCCGTTTAATTGGCGGTCGGTGACTCGAGAGCAGATTTTTTGGGCATTTTTCGACGTTTAGCTCGGCCGAGCGGTCATCCGAGAAGAGAGGCTCGTAATGGGAATGGCCGCGCATATACGGAGCCTTTGCGCACATCGGGTCCGTCCTTTCTCGAGACTGTCATTATACTGTCAATTACCGGGTCAGCCGCGCTCGTAATGACAGGCATCTGCTTTGCCAACCGCCGCGAGACGAACTGGCTGCCCCAACTTGTCGATGACTGCTCCGATTTTCTGCCGCGGTACGCGTGATATCTCCGGGGGAAGAAATCGAGCAAAAGGCGAAGATTCACTCGCAGAAACTTTTTCGGGACTGATTTGCCGGAGGTTTGCTCCTTTTTCTGCCCCCGGACGGAGATTGCTTTCCGTGGTATATTTAGGCCCTGAAATAGAGTCTCATCGTGGGAAAATTCGAGCCTTCCGATAAAACGTCGATCTTCAAAATTTAGCTTAGCGGAAGAAGAATTTCAGGTCTTAAAAATCAAAATTCAAATTGGGAAAATTCACTCTCGAGCCTGGAGTCTTGCGACGAACTTCGATTTCTGGAATCTACCCCCCGAATAAAAAAAAGAAAAAAATTCATCCTAACCTAACGAAATATATTTAGGCCCTGAAATAGAGTCTCGTCGTGGGAAAATTCGAGCCTTCCGATGAAACGTCGATCTTCAAAATCTAGCTTAGCGGAAGAAGAATTTCAGGTCTTAAAAATCAAAACTCATATTGGGATAATTCACTTTCGAGCCTCGAGTCTTGCGACGAACTTCGATTTCTGGAATCTACCTCCCGAAAAAAAAAAAAAAAATTCACCGAACCCAAAGAAATATTTGGTCAATTCAAAGGATATTTGTTTCACTGGGATAAACTCAATTCCGAAGGTGTAGGGTGCATCCGATTTATTGGAATTTATATGAAAGAAATTATTCGTCAGATTCACAGAACATTTCTTTGGTGCTGTTAAAAAAGTATTTCTCCGGTTAAATGAAATCTTTTTCGGATGGAGATTGCTTTCCGTGGTATATTTAGGCCCTGAAATAGAGTCTCATCGTGGGAAAATTCGGGCCTTCCGATGAAACGTCGATCTTCAAAATCTAGCTTAGCGGAAGAAGAATTTCAGGTCTTAAAAATCAAAACTCAAATTGGGAAAATTCACTCTCGAGTCTTGCAACGAACTTCGATTTCTGGAATCTACCCCCCGAAAAAAAAAAGAAAAAAATTCATCGAACCCAAAGAAATATTTGGTCAATTCAAAGGATATTTGTTTCACTGGGATAAACTCAATTCCGAGGGGTGCATACGATTTATTGGAATTTATATGAGAGAAATGAATTATTCGTCAGATTCACAGAACAGTTCCTTGGTGCCGTTAAAAAAGAATTTCTCCGGTTACATGAAATCTTTTTCTCGGTACAGACTTTTCGCATGCAAGAAATCGCGTCCCATTATTTTCCGTTTATCGAGAGGTTAGAAATTGACGGTGTATTATTATTTGGTTCGACCTCGAAAATGGGCGGTTTTGAGGTTTTGGCGGACACGCTTTCTTCCTACAAAGTTACCGGCAGGACCTCGGCATTCCGGCTAATTAGTCTTGGCTTTCAGAAAGGACCAAGTCACGAAAGTACAGGGTGACTACACGCTATTCGTTCCGCCGAAAAGGACGAGAGACGAGCGTGCTTTGAGACGCGAAACCGGCGAAATTAGCGACGCCTTAACGCTTGGATTTATGCTGAATTGATACTTAACACTCGCAATTAGCCTCTAAAAGGCCCGAACTCGTCGACAAAGGGTCGGACAAAACCTCGTGGCAATCCCTCCGTGACGGAACGTATTTAATTTTTACGTTGGTTTTAACCATCCTCTGGTAAACAGTCCTCGTCAATTTCAAGCCGCCTCCATTACGAGACGCCGATTTTCTGGAAAGCACTTTCAGGGGATTTATTTCACAAAAATCATCGACCGACGATAACTCCGAGGCGATTAGTAACCGCGAT